AATTAGTCATTGTATAGCTTTTTACATTTTGATGTACACATACATCACTTGTTTCTTCGGTAAGATAGATTATTATCATCCTTATTTCATAGATAAGGAATCTGAAGCTCAAAAAAGGCACAACTGCTTGCCCGTGGTCACCCAGAATGTGAGCAATAGAGCTGGAACTGGAGGCTCTCGCCCCTCCTCCCCACCTCTGCTGACCTCCTCCCTTCCTGGTTCCTGACTTTTTCAGCTACAACCCTCATGACTTACAGAGCTTACCTTTCCACCCTTGGGAATGCTAGAGAAATTAGAAAAAACACGTCCCCCAAAGTGGGTAAGAATACCAGACACTTCCAGAGAGTGAGCGCAATTAAAGATAAGAAATTAAAGAAGTTTATGGACTCAGACAAGTCTGAGCTTCCCTTGCATTCAGCCTTTTCCTAATTTGCAGGAATCACTAATTTGTAGAAGCACGTGGCTCTACAGAAAGCTTTGTGTGTGTGTCATTAGTGCGACCCAAGGGATCGTGGTGGCTTTGTGAAACTTGCTTTTCGAGAAAATTCAAATCAAGTCTAAGGAAGATTTTTATTCTTTGCCCAGTTTATCTTGACCACTTAAATTTAAAATTGCAATGATTAAAATATTTAAAGAATTTTCTAGGCAGGCACCTATAATCAGATGCTCTTTGTCTGTGAAAAGACAGAGGTCACCTGAGTGTCCAGAAGGGAGAAATACTGGGGCTACTGAAAACCCTGAGTTTGAAACCAGTCAGAATTAGAAATTTCAGGGTCCTCAAAATCTGAAAGTATTAGTCTTTTGAACCAGCATTTCTACTTCTAGCAACACTTGGACGCATTAGCAAAGACATGGATCCAAGAATATTCACTGAAGTTTTAGTATCAATAGCCAACAAAACAAAACAAACACCCAATGACAACAACAAAAACCACCCAAAAGCCCTTCAGTAGTAGCATGTGGTGTCCATCCTGTGGAATGCTAGGCAGCTGGCATGACTGCAAGGTAGGATAATGGGTGCCAACAGGCAGAAAAAGACTCAAGTTGGTTGAGGGGAGAGCCATTTGCAAAACAGTGTGTTGGTTATAAGACAACTTTTGAAAAATATTAACAATAATCAAATGAAGGAGGAAGAGAATTAGTATACAGAGAAGAAAACCATTTGGCGGTATGTGCCACACTATTGCTAATTGTATCATTGAGGTGCGAAATTACAGAGAACATGCATCGTCAGCAATATGTTTATTCATTTAACAGCTATTTTGTTAGAAGTCTTTTGCGCACCAGGTACATTCTAGGTGCTGAGGAGACACATAGAACTTCAATTCTAGGTAGAGGAGATAGAAAATCTGCAAGTAAGTAGATGAACATTTGAATTTTGGATAAGCAAAGTCTATTACTATGACTACTAAGAAGACGTTTTTAAGGTTAAAAAAAAAAAAAAGAGACCATTTCCAAAGAAAAGGGGAGGCAAAGCTAGGAAATGTCAGTAGCCTTTCCGGTCATGGTGGTAAAGGCTGGTAACTAGAATATAACCCATGGAGTAGAGCTCGTTTTAGGTCCATCAGCTCTAACAGCGCCCAAGACTGGAGATGTGGTGGAGGGGCTTCCTCAGATGACTGTCTTCTGGGCCGGTGGCGACTGTTTTTGGTAATCACTTCTATGTGGGAAGAAACTGAATGTAGTAGCTGGTTCTTGTTCTTCTCCCAGGCTCTTATTTAAACAAAAAATGTAGATCCTCTCCTGTTCCCTTTAACCTCACTACTAGGAAAACCTCACATTAGAAAAGAGTATATGAACCTTTGTTCTTTTTACATTTAGAAATATCTGAATTCTCAAGTAAAACAGGGTAATTCCTTTCTTATAAAATCATTGGTAAGGTGAAAATAAAAGTCAGTGGGATATTTAACTTTTTCATTAATAATTATTGTTTTATTGTAAAGTACAAATATCACACCATTTAGGATTATCTGCTTGCAGTGTAAACTAGGAGCATTTAATAACATGTTTGAAAATAACTTTTATTCACGACCTTATCAGTTAGGTTTTCTGTATGTATCTGAGCACAATCTTTAAGATGGCTGGAATTATACATCTTTAAAATTAAACTGAAACTGGTAGAGAAGCAACTGATTCTCTTAACTTTGTGTATTACAAATAATATTTCAAAACTTTATAGGTAGTGTTCATTTGTGAATTCAGTGCACTTCAGCAAGTTTCTACTGAGGGTTCTCTCTGCACCAGACACACCAGTGAATAAGTACAGGCTCTGAACTCCAGAACCCGTAATCCAAATTGAAAGGCAGAGTGGTAAACAGGAAAAGAACACAAATGGTTGTGGGGGGAAGTTATTGATAAATGTGTTTGGGATGATTAGGTGTTTCTTACTCTGAGTGATATGGCCTATACTTTTCTAGCCAGAGAGTCCCTGAAACGCAGAATTAAACATTCAATAACCTCTCCCATTCCTAAGTATAGTGGGACAGGGTCCCTTACAGGAGCAGTGAGATGCTTCAGGCTAAATTGCTATAAATTTATTTTTTTGATATTTTATATTTTTATTATTTTTATTTTATTAAATTTATTGGAGCGACATTAGTTCATGGGGCCATATAGGTTTCAAGCGCACATTTCTGTGATACATGATCTGTATGTTTCACTATGTGCCCACCCCCCAAAGTCAAATCACCATCTATTTGGCGCCCTTTGCCCTTGGCTGTCCTTTGCCATCCCCTTCCCTCTGGTGGCCACCAAGCTATTGTCTGTGTGAAATTGCTCTCTCTTCTGCAGGTTCCCTTGCAGTTGCCTCAGTGATTAAGGAATGCTTGATGTTGCCAATTACATGTACCACAAAGTTTCCATTTTTCCAGCTTTGCTTTTTTCAAAACCAGATGCAGATAACAAGCAGTTTTTTCTTGTTAGGAGAATACAAGCAGAAAATAAAAGGCCTCTTTAAAATAAAAAAAGGAGATCAGATGTGTGTGTATATGTAATTATGGATGGATGAGAAAGAGCTGATCTGCTCTGTGCTACCTCCCAGAGATATTGGAACGGTTTCCATTTTGTTGTGCACACACACATTCCCATCTATGATTATCCAAGTATATATGTGTACATGTCACATTGAAATATATGTACACAGATATCCCCTCTCATAATTTAAATCTTCAGCATAAATATTTAGAAACTGATCTAGTCTGATCAGGCTGCTGTAGCAAAATACCACCGACTGGGTAGCCTATGAAGAGCAAACATTTATTTCTCACAGTTTGGAGGCTAGGAGTCCAGGATCGCAGCACCGGCATGGCTGAGCTGCTGGAGCCTTTGAGCTGTGTCCTCACACAGAGGAAGGAGCGAGGGAGCTCTCTGGAGCCTCTTTCATTAGGGCACTCATCCCACTCATGAGGGCTCCACCCTCATGAGTTAATCACCTCTCAGAGGCCCCCACCTCCTCAAACCATCCAACCTTTGGGGTTTGGATTTCAGCATATGGATTTTAGGGGGCTAGGGCACTAACAGTCAGGCTGCAGCGGAAACCAACAGTTACACTCCTCATATCAAAGTTTAAAGCAAAAAAATCAACAGATTAAAATAACAAAAAGGAAACAGCTATAGCTATTTGCTTAAAAAATGAGTTCAGCGCTGGCTGGTGTGGCTCAGTGGATTGAGTGCCGACCTGTGAATCAAAGGGTTGCCAGTTCAATTCCCAGTCAGGGCCCATGCCTGGGTTGAGGGCCAGGTCCCTGGTAGGGGGCGCATGAGAGGCAACCATACACTGATATTTCTCTCCATTTCTTTCTCCATCCCTTCCCCTCTCTCAAGAAATAAGTAAGTACAATCAATTTAAAAAATTTAAAAAATGAATTCAGTGGGACTCCCTAGGCTGAAAGCAGAAAGGCCAGCACAGAGGGAATGGGGGAGTTGTTCCAGAGTGGAGATGCTTTAGCAGCAAGTCTAGATTGTTGAAGCCTAGGTGGTTAAGGAAAGGATTATAGCATTTTCCAGGGGGTTAGTCATTGTTCTATTTAAGCCCCGAGAGTGCAGACATAAGTTTATAGAGGTCAGAGAAAACACTATGCACATGTTTAAGCCTTGGCAATATTTTTTCTTTAACCCTTAAAAGGCAAGTGCGCAACGATAACTCCACAGGCTCTTACAGGGGGGCGGGGGTGGGGGCAGCGGGGGATGAAGCCCTTTAGCCCAGTTGTGCTGGTAGGTGTGTGCTGCGAAGATGCCTGTTCTAAATGCAGCTGAGGGAATGAGAGCCCAGACAGGCTGAGTGACCCACTGTACCAGTTCCCCAGGCCTGTGCTGAGAAACAGTTCCTTGGACTTACTTGTTCTCCAAAACGGGTCTCACAGTGGACTTGCTGGTTCTCATTTGCTTCCCCTGAAGGCAAAACCAAGATATTCTAGTGCTTGTTTAGTAAACAGAGCTTCCCTAACTGAGCCCCACGGGGTTGGGTCCGAAGTTGCCGCGCACACCAATTCTGGCCTCTAAAATGTGAATTTACATCCCATGCAAGCAGCTTCAGTGCTGTCAGAACCAGCGGGGTCACTTGGGGTCATAGTCCAGGCTTTTCTTCAGCCCTGCTGTTTCTATTGCCTTGTCTGTACCCAAAGACTTCTTGAAATTACAGATGAAAAAAATAGCACAAAGTTTTAAAAGGTTAGAGAATGCTTCTTTTTTTAGAGAACAGCTTTAGAAGTTTCAACAGCAGGATTTGTGTGCAAAAAAACAAGCGCATTTCATACTTCTAATATAATTTGATTGAAAGAGTGTAAGTTCACAGATTCCTTTCTAGAGCTGTATCTAAGTAAAATGCTATTTGGCTCTGCACACCTGACCTCATTACATAATTCTCAGGCCTCCAGTATGACAACAGGCTAGTCTTCTTTTAAACCATCCCCCCGGCAAATCCAACCAGATCAGGAGGCCAAGCACACACGTTGACTGTCCTGTTGGTTTCTCTTTGCCTTGTCTCTGCCTGTATGCTCCAGGTGGGAGAGTTCAGAGCCCATGCTGCTGAGTGGACAGCCAACGTCACGGCCGAGTTCAAGGAAACCAGGAGGCGGCTGAGCGTGGAGATTTATGACAAGTTTCAGCGCGCCACCTCCATTAAGCGGAAGCTCTCCGCAGAACTGGCCGGGAACCACAACCAGGAGCTGACACCTTGTAGGAGGACCCTGTCCGTGAACCACCTAGCCAGCGAGAGGGATGTCTTGCCTCCTTTACTGAAAACTGAAAGTATCTATTTGAATGGATTGACGCCACACTGTGCAGGCGAGGAGATTGCTGTTATTGAGAATATTAAGTAGCCTTCTCTTTGAAGAGCCTTAGGCATAGCCATAGGTGAGGACTTCTATATGCTCTTTAAGACTGTTGCTGGTAGCATTTTTAAAATTGTGCATGAACTCCAAAGGGGGGAAAAAGAGATACACCCATCATGGCCATCTACCACCGAGAGAATCTGGAATTCTGAGCCAGCACTATCTTTTTGATGATGCTTGTTGAACGGTCCACTTTCTTTGACCAGTGGAATAAAACAAGCGATGTCTGATGCCTTTTTGTGCCCAGACTGTTTTTCTTCTTTTTCCCCTAATGTGCCACAAGGCTTCAGAATGAATTATAATTGTTCCTGGTAATAATGTAGCTTCGAGGGATCAGCCCTTAACTTTTCAGGGTCTACCTAACTGAGCCTAGATATGGACCACTTATGGAAGACAACATTTCTTTTTGTAAATGGCAAGGGATTCTTATGCAGCCTTTTACCTAAGAAATTTTCTGTCAGTGCCTTATCTTAGGAAGAAACAGAACCTCTCTAGCTAATGTGTGGTTTCTCCTTCCCCGCCCCACCCCTAGGCTCACCTGCAGTCCTTTACCCCAGGAATCCTATTTGAATACCATACCTTGCTGGAAACAGTGTGTAAATGACTGAAGTGATGATTCCCGAAGAAGGAGTAGATGCCAAATTTGAAGCAACACTCAGAAACCCTAGCGTAAAAGGCACTGCAGAGGAAGGAGGTGCCCAGATGGCCCCTCTGAGTTATTTATTTGACTCAGGTACCAGCGGTACATTTATACAGTGTAATGATTACCCAGTCGGTAAAATTGGCTGCTCCTGGTCTCTTTTTCCCTGGCAGTATTTGGAAGTTATCATTTATTAATAACTATACATTTTTAAAGGTGGAAGAAGAAAATATATATATATATATATATATATATATATATATATATATATGAATGAAAGCGGAAAGAAGAAAACGGTAACAAATGGATATTATTGGAGGCAACAAGAAAATTGGTGTGAATTACCATTCTGATGAAAAGAAGGTAGCAAAACAGTGTGTTACAAGCATTTGCTAATAAATATTATACTGCCAGCATCGATTTGCTTTTTGTTGTATGAAAGGCTTATATGATTTTTTTTCCTTGGGTGACTTTTGCCAGGCGGGGGCAGGGCGAGGGGCTCACAGGCAGGGCTGGGCACGGGCCTAACCTCCCGCGGGTGTGCCTCTGGCCTTGTTATTGAAGTGGGAGCTGGGACCACTGTGATTTTTGCCCAAGGAAAGTGCAGACTGCAGGCATAACTCATCTCTGGCATTAGAGAAAAAGCTGTTATAGCACAATTTAAATCTTGAGAGATGTTTGTTTCTCTTTTTTTTTTTTTATAGAAAAGGCTGATAATCCTTTTTAGTTTAATTTTATAGCCTGTAACTCTTTGGATGTTTCCAAAATTCAGAGGAAATTCAGTAAAGGCACCTAATAGATTGCTACTCTTTCTTTTATTTTCATACATAGATCTGCTGTACATTGTATATATAATTTTGAAAATGCAGAAAGAAAATGGTTTCCCTAAACATAATTGCAAAACATTTGTTTTACTGTTGGGGGGTAGCTAAATAGGTGGCATTCATATTAGAGTCTTAATAATAAGCCCAGGATCTTAAAGAAAAAAAGAAAGAAACAATAGATGCTTATTTTCCAAAATTTAAATTTAAGCTAAAAATGTAAATATTCAATTAACTTGTTAAAGGTACTTTTATAAACTTAAAAAATTCTAACTGAAATTTTAGAAGGTCAGGCTCTTTTAGAAAGAAAGCTACATCCATTTCCTCAATAACTGTTCTGAAAGATCGTATGGTGGATTGCACCATGTATAAGCTGTGAATTGTACTGACAAATAAAGTTTGTAATTAAAGTCAGCATTTTCTGAGTCTCCTGCTTGCTGCTGAGAATTTAGGTCTGGTTCTGACTAAGTCTAACTCCAGGATGTCTCTTTCCATGCTGAGTTATTTTGTGGCTCCTTCATTCAAAATTTTCAATAAATATTTTTGATGCAGTATTATCACCCTTGTTAAATATGTGCATAATGTTCCTTTTGACGGCTGTTAATTAAAATATCCTGAAATTCATTCTGAAATATTTTAAAAAGCATATGAATTCAAGATTGTTTTTATTAAGTTATGATGTATCAGTATCTTATTTTACCATTGTTAGATCTTGTCTTGACACTGAAGTCGCCTGGATGCTGAACACAGGCACCTGATGAGTGCTTTTTGTATGAAAAAAACCAACATACTGGCAGCATTGAGGTCTGAAAAAGGTTGTTGCCAACCAGTCTTCTTTCTAGACCTTGTATGCCAAAGATTTGGAAGATATACTTTGTCAGTGTCTTACATAAATTTATTTATTCATTCCCAAGCAACTTGATGCTCAGTAAATATCCTAAAACTGGCCCTCAACATCATCCTTAGTATGGGGGAAAATCTAAAAAAGCATACATATAATAACAATTTTGTTTTCTCAAGCTTTATTTTGTTTACTTCTTATAGGGAATGCTGATAATGATTTTTACATAGAGTTCTCTAATGAGCTGCTGCTTATTATCTTTTTGTGCTGGACCAGTTTAAGAATGAGTAGTTTTTCCCTAAAGGATATTTGAAAAAAAATTATGTACTAGAACAGCAAAGATCAGGAAGTCTCTGATGTGAAATCTGACATGAATTCTGTACAAGGCTCTCTGTCCACCTTGCATCAAATGTAAAAGTGATTATTTTGGAGTTCTTTCCATTTATTACATAAGTCTATACTTTGCTACATAGCTCATGTCACACAACCTATTTTTCAGTAATATTTCACTCTTGCAATACAGGAAAGAGTGAAACTTCTAAAGCCAAGAAGGGATTGAATAATTTATATCTTCAAAAAAAAAAAATGAGAAAGCAGTGCACAGGGCTTTGTTTCTCATATTTTAAGGAACATGTAACATATAAAAAGACCAACTCCCACCTTGGTTTGTGTAAGAAAATCTATAGAATTCTTTGATTCTTAAGGTTAGAAGTTTAAACAGAGTAAGGAAAATTTTAGCTGAAATACCAAAAAAATACAGACATTTTTAAAGACGCGAGATAGCTCTTTGTGCCTAAGAACCGGAGGTCTAGACCAACTTTTACTTTTGTTTTCCTTTTTAAACAAATGTTTGCTGTTCTAGTAAAGTCAAAACTTATTTGTGGTTTGCATTCTTTAGTAAAGTGTTAGTATAAATTTGCATATGTGTGAAGTAAAAACTGTCTCTACTTGAATACCCGTAATTCCATTAAAATTCATACATGATTTTGGCTTCAGCATGAGTTTACTTAACCGTCCTCTTATAGTGAAACTTCCTGGTCTTGCACATGCTCATGTGTTGGTTCTAAAATGGCAAGGAGTAAAATGATTCCTTTTGACAGAAACTCTTGAGAGTAACTCATTGTGATCATCTTCATAATGGGGAGCTTCATAGGCTCCGTGTGCCTTCTTCTTCCCACCCCCCTCAAAGCCTTATACAGCTTTTGTTTCACACACGATTCCTCCCCACTGGATCTCAATGACCCCCTTCCTAAAAGACAGGGATTAGTGCCAATGACCAGAAGTTTTGACTCTGCTATGTTGTTTGATTTAATGCCATTCGTTCACTAAGCCCAAACTCTTATTTACTATTTCTACTATTCATAAACAAATTGTTATTTTCCAGTATTAGCATTATAAAGTATGTTCACTGTGTTAAGTCCTTCTCAATTTACAACTGTTTTTTCACTTTTCATCTGTCATTCCTTTCCAAAGTATTTCTCCTGTACCTTCACCAAAAACTCATCGTTCTTTTTCTTTTGCATTCTTAGACTTGGTTTCCCTCTGAGCGCCACTTCCATTTAGCTAGCTCCCATGAGATACCTCCTCTTCTCAAAGGCACTTCAACATATCCAAAACCTTTAAAATATTTCCCCAGACCTCGCTCTCCTTTGAGGTCACCTATTTCAGCAAATGACACCGCCATCTATCTGGTTGGGCAAGTCATCCTTTGTGTTTTCTTTGTTCCTTCAACTCCACACCCACCTGTCACCAAGCCCTACTGACTTGCATCCTGAATGTCTTGAATTCGTCCACAGCCATTATCTTAATCCAAGCCACCACCACATCTCACCTTCTGCTCTGACCGCTTTTGTATCATTCTCTGCTCTTGTCATTGATGAAAGGGCGTCTTTTTAGTGCGCAAATCCGATTGTGTTATCCTCCAGTTTATATCCACTAATTGTCTTTCACTTTTTCAGGGGTAAGACTGCAGTCCCTCACATGGCCTTCTGTTGGTCTCCCTTGGGCCCTCCTTTCCAGGTTCATCTTGTATTCTCTCTGATGCTCTATATTCCAGCCTCACTGGATTTCTCCCTTGGATCACAAGGTTACACTGATGCTGTCTGCTTTGCCTGGAATACTCGCTTTCCTTTTGCTTCTCGGCCATTTTCACCTAACAAACTCCTACTCATCCTTCAGAGCCCAGCTCAAGTATCACTCTCTGATAAGCCTTCCCTGGTATCAATTCAGGTACCTTTATAATATACTTTATAAAACCCTATTTCCCATAGGTCATGATTAGATATTCATCATTCTTCTTTTTTGATTATTATCTGCCTTTCCCACTAGAATGTAATTCATTGGTTCTAACTTACTGTGATATTTCCAGATACTAGCAGAGTACATATAGTAGATGCTCAAAAAATACCCGATGAACAGATGAATGAAGATGAAAACAGAGTTAACTGTTGTAATCATCTGAAGGATTCTGTGTATGAGGAAACTAAATTTTTTCAGTTCCACAAGCATTTATCTGTCCTCTCCTACTGGCTTAGTAGTAAATGGGATACAAACAGCAAGTATTTCTCCTATCAGCTGACAAGCTAGTATTAGTTACCCATTGTGTATAAAAAAGTCTTTTTTTTAACTAGACAGACTTGCAGTATATAATAACTTGTCATTATTATATACTCTTACTCCTTATGTG